TTCAGCAGTTGTCTTATCCAAGTCCAGTGGAAGATCGGTTTCGTAAATTGTATGTCGGCCTATTATTTAAATCTTTGGAGTTGAATGCTTAATCTAACTAGCAATGTGCATGCATGCCTTGTAATTTCTACCTATTTTCCCAAAGTTAACTACATAGTCTGATGATAAATTTTGAGATGCTGATCCATCTTCACTAGTGTTACAGTCGAAGTCTGCTTTAGAAATAGTTTTGACTGTTTATATGTGTGTACTTGTATGTAAAAACAGTTTTAGCATAGCTGTTCAAGAACCCTGTATTAACATATGCCAATTTCAATGATGAAGATGGTTTGAGAGTCGACTCACTATGTATGGCTTTAGAAATAGATTTGACAGTTCATAAATTTGTTGTAGCTTTACCCATTTAACAATCCTATATTTGCATGTTATTTTGGAAGATGATGAATATGGTTTGAGAGTTGACTCATTATGTATGGAAAGGTTGTAGTCTTCTAGATTGAACATGCTTGATCTGTTCCAATGTTTTCTTTGTCTGCCTGGCTGAATACTAGTAATATATGTTCTTCACGTTACAATTTACCAAGTTGTTTAACTATATATATGAATATTATCATCACTTTTTGTTACTTGTAGATCTCTTAGACCGCGCCCAAATGATGATACACTCTCCAGGCATTCTATTTTGGGCCCAAATGGACTTCACGGGCAGTGGCAGCCACCTACAGCTGATAAAGGGGTATGATGGAATTTGGCTAAAGTCATTTGGTTTGATGCAGACTTAAAGTGACCATTTCTTTGTGAATGTAGATCCGGTATCCAAGCATTACAGACCTGAGTCCTATTGAAATTCGAAGGTGTGATACTGATATTCTGCTAAATTTCCTTTTTCTTTTATCATGGAATACTTTCGTTGCCATCAGAGTAGCAGACTGTTTGGTTGCTTATTTGGGAATGTAGATCCATTCAACAAAGAGAATACCATTTGGTTTTTTTCATTTTTGCCCGAAAGCAAGAGATCTCTTCTTATTAATGTATTGGATTGTGAAAACCCTTTTTTTCACGTAAACTTAGTTTGTCTGTTTACATAACATCATCTTGCTTCTGTTTTGAACGAGTTTATATGGCTCTACTTATCTGATTATTTCCTGGGAGAACAGCCAGCAGCCCGTCGAACAAGAACGTACAAGTAACAAAGATGGTAGCTGCTTAGAACATGAAAGACTACCTCTGGAGTCGACTCCTACCCAGACTAATGATGATAATCATACAAGTCAAATTGAGGAATCATGTTCTCTAATTTCCTTTGAAGAAACAGAAACTCCTGCACGCTTAGAAGTTATCAGACAGCCTTCGCCACCACCTGTACTTGCTGAAGTACAAGATTTGATCCCTGCAGTTTCCTCCCAAATGTCTGAAGCAGAATGTGGAGTGGATGTGCTTTCAGCAGATGAATCTATTCGTGCTGAGTCCCCCCTCCAATTACACATTGTGAGATCTTGAGCGTCCTTTTCATATTTGCTCTAATGTCTTATTGCTGGTAGTTTGTCATTGGAAAGAACATAGTTGTATAGGTATTATCTTTTTGATGATACAAATTTAAGTTCTATACTTAAGTCATTGGAAATCCCAACCAATTAACAATAGATCTTCAACTATGATAATAAATGTTTCCCTTTTGCAGTCCACAACCATGATGGAGAACTTTATGAAGCTGGCAAAGTCGAATACTGATAAGAACTTAGAAACTTGTGGTGTCTTAGCAGGTTCACTGGTAAGTATTTAAAATTAGCTGGAAAAGACGAGGACTGTGTATTCTGGACATTTTTGAACAATGTTGCGAAGTTTTTTTCTTTACTGTTGGGTCCGGTTTTGTATGTTAAATTGATTATTTACTTGGGAAAATTCATGATTCACCTGCGTTGTTAAAATAAATTGGTGATTGACTCAAGTAAATAAATGATTTACCTTTAGTAAATCAATTATTAACTAGAAATTTGACTTCAATCAAAAAGAAAATTTGAAGACACTTTTTGTAGAGGGGTCCAAATTTTGCTCATTTATGCAAATATCCCTGAAACTTACATGATCTATTTTAAAATCTAATACTCATTATTTCCAATTTTTCTGTTCTGCAGAAAAACAGAAAATTTTATGTTACAGCTCTCATCATTCCAAAACAGGAATCAACATCAGATTCTGTAAGGCAGTTTTTTTTTTTTTGTACTTTCTGTAGAGACTGTATCATGGTTTTTACCTCAAACAGAGATATATTGTTATAAATGCATTTTCTGATCAGTGTCAGACCACAAACGAAGAGGATATATTTGAAGTTCAGGATAAGCGGTCTCTTTTCCCCCTTGGGTGGATTCATGTGAGTATCCTTTCTCTGACAAAAATTTTATGTTAAAATTTCTTGATGTTTTGACAATGACAAGTCTTATATTGTTTATAGAGATGTTTCCTACGGTGCAGAATCCTTTAGAATCCAAAGCTATTGATGAGATAAATTTGTTGTTGTGCAAAAGCTTGAAAGCCAATAAACAATATCCATTTAGAGTGTTTTTATGGAATGTACACTCCAAAATTGTGGAATTTTATCTGCTTCTGTTAAAAATGGAAAATGTTCGTGTAGTAGAAACTTAAAAATACTAAAATTTGGAAAGTGCAGACATTGGATACGGTGGTTCTCCAGAGAAACATTCGATTCCATATTTCAGTTCAGCCCAACATTTATCATTGCAAAAACATAATTAAGATCAATATTAGTAACATACCTAATGTCGAGAAGTCACACCTAGTCTAGTATTTAGTTGCAGCCATGTCTACTTTTACTCCTGCTTTCTGCACTGAATTCCTTGTGCCTTCTAGCCCCCAAAACAAGAAATAAAATAGAAAAAGAAACGAAAATTTGTAGGGGAATTGCATCTCTTTATGTTCGGGTCTGCTCAAGAAAATGTATGATCTGTTTTACCATGTACAAGTCGCTCCTAGTCTAGTACTTCGTAGTTGCAGCCATGCCTACTTTGAGCTCCTGCCTTTTGCATTAAATTCCTAACGTCTTCCGCCAAAAAAAAAAAGGAAAATATAGACAGGAATTGTATATATCTTTGTTATCTCTGCTCAAGAAAAAGTAATGTAATATCTAGTAAGGATGATCGCTAATTGTATCTGGTTTATAGCGTGTACCTTTATCTTATAATGTTCTTTTTATACTGATAGAATACATGCCCCTTAAGTTGATACAAAGATTTCTTACCATGTTTTTATTCTTGCTATTGTTGTTGTTTTTCTTTTGTCTTTTTTTCCCCTCTTGATTAAGTTCCCATTCTTGTTTAAAAAAAAATTAACCGACTGATTGGTTGTAATTGTGGACTTTTCAGACGCATCCTACCCAGTCTTGTTTCATGTCGTCGATTGATCTTCATACCCACTATTCATATCAGGTGCGGGCTCTTCCTGATTGTATAGAAGTTTGTTCGTGACAGGAGTGTTTTTCCCATTCTCTAACTCAAACCTTGCTTCATCAGTTAGTCAGTTCAACTGTTCAAGGATGTTCCTTTTTCTATCCTTGTAATGAATTGGATACTGTTGTGGGTCATTAGCTTTTGGTTTCTGCAGTTTTTTTTCCTCTTTTTTATTTTTTTATTTTTTAATTTTTATTTTTTTGTTGTTGTGATTCTCATATGGACAGATATTTTGATAAACATTTCTGTTTCTTACCCAAAAAAAAAAAAAAACACCCTCTTAGAGTAATTTTTTTTTCCTTTATTTTACATCTCTGTTTCTCAGATCTATAGGAGTGTCCTTTCAGTGAGGGATAAAGATTTTGCCCTTTTTTAAACACTCTTAGATTCATGTCTCTTCTTTCTCTCTTTAAAATTAAATCAATAGGGGCACAATTTTGTGAGAAATGACGAAAAACTAAAGAAGAGAGTTAAATTTCCTAATTTTGTTCTTATTTGTTTTCCTTTGTTATTATAATTGTTTGTTGTAGGAGTGTCTTACTGAAATTTATTCGACTAAAGCTTCAAATATTTAGTTTCTATTTATTCTTTAAGTTCCACACTTTTTATGGAAACTGAAATTGCAGGGACCAGGTTATTTTTCATTAATGTGTTTTAAGTTACTTCTACTTTCCGTAATAATAGAACAACCTTATTGAATTCAGGAAGATTTTTTCTGTCACTTTCCACCACGAGAAGCCTGCTGTTTGTAAAACAGTTCCGCTTCCATTGATACTTTAAATGAAGAAACTCCTACTTTAAATGAAGAAACTCCTTTGTGATCAATCGTAGATTATACTTGTTTTCTTCTATCTTTTTTGGTTAGTTACGTACTTTTTCTTGTGTAGATTATGTTGCCAGAATCTGTTGCAATTGTCATGGCTCCTAGAGATACTTCGAGGTAAGATCAGCTCAAGCATTGCTACTTTGGCTGGATTCTTAGCTTGAGGGGTCCATCTCTATGTACATACTTTAGTTTGCTTATCTCTCTCCTTGTTTTTTCTACTTGCAGAAACCATGGCATTTTCCGGTTGACAACTCCTGGTGGCATGTCCGTTATTAGACAATGCCAGCAACGCGGATTTCATCCGCATGATCCGCCTCCGGATGGTGGGCCTCTTTACAAGACTTGTACAGATATTTACATGAACCCCAATCTAAAATTTGATGTCATTGATCTTCGTTGATCGCCTTTACTCTGGTGGTGTATGTTTTACTGATGCAATTGTTCATAGCTTACGTGTATGCAATTATTGAATTTCTCATTAGGATCAACCTGGACAATGTCGGAGTACTTGTCTCTGTATAGAGAAAACGTTATACTGCCAGCTGGCAGCATATGTATTGCATGTGTAGCATCACTTGGCTAGTTCTTGAACACGAATAGCCTGCATTCACAAAAGAGTTGGATCTCTGTGTTTTTCATTCACTAGCCAATTAAACATAAGATCCAAATATTGTTGTAAAACCATTGATCCTTTTTTTTTTTTTTTAATAGAAATAAAAGCATTGCATTTCATGAAGGCATCATGTATTGTTCACTTGTTTAAAATCATATTGCTTGATAAAGTCAGCACTGAGCAAGGGAGGATATTCACTTGCACTTAAAGAAAAAATAAAAAAATAAAAAATTGATAATGGGGGCGTTGTCCCCTACACGCTTTGATTGAGTGGCGGATTTGCTTTTTTGTTGGTAGAAAAGTGGTAGATGTACTTGTCATTCAGATGGATTATCTCTTTTCCTACATTGTTAAGTAAGAAGGGCAATCGATTATGTGTGTGTGTGTCTGTGTCTATATATAGATATATTATAGAAATGGGTCATTGATTATTTATAGAAATAGAAGGTGACATACTTAGATAATTTAGGACAACAGTGCATTTTCACATCACATATGAATTCCTCATATTCCTGTTAATTAGTGGGAAATTATTCAAACTCAAGACCTAGTAGAGGAGAATGAATAACCTTACAAGACCTTACCACCTCAGCAAATGCTAATGGTGCCTTGTATGTTTAATTCTTGGATTATAGTTAGTATTATTATTATTATTATTTTCCTCGAAAACTTGAACTATGGTCAATCACTTTTTGAATAAGGAACTTTATTCGGTGTTCTCTCTTTTTTGGAAACACAGGTGTTTTCTGCTTTTCAGCTGTAAGATCTGTATCAAAATCTGTTTGTTTTGCATATTTTTTTCACTCTGGTTTTGACTGGATCTAATGGTTGAAAAAACAGGGAATGCGGGTGTTTTTAAAATGGAGGAAACATTAGAGAAACTCCGTTTGAATAATCTTGTGTTTTTTTGGTCCCCATATGAATATGGATTCTTCAAGCAATTTGAATTGGCTTGATGAGGGCCATGAGGCAGGGTTGGTGGGATGATGGCAACCAATATGGTTAACGAATCATGGGGGAGGATTGGAGTGAAATGAAAGCCATCTACCATAGTCCAAAGAAACCAAAGGCAAAAGTGAAATGAGTCAAATTGACAATATTCACGCAATACGCAAGGGGATATTAACTTTAGTAGGTTTAACTTTTTGAATTGGGGGGTTTGCTTACTTTCCTCTTTTTCCCCCCAGTTTTTTCATACAAAACCCTTTCTCTGGCATCACCAAAAGGTAAATATCTGAAAGCATTCTTGGTCCCTTCTTTACTTGATTTTTCCAAAAGGAGCCTTGGAAATTACTCCTTTTTATCTTTTAAGCCTTTTCTCAACAATAGAAACATGACATCCCAAAATGGGCACCCACCACCCCATACAATGGAATCATTCCACATGAAATGGTCTTGCACACTGTAAAGGAAGTTTGTGAATGGTGATAATATCAATTTCCTTATGTTTGGGGTCCACATAGATAAGCATCAAAACCGTTCCATCAATATGGTTAGACAAGGTTCAATCAGAATGTGCATAGATGGTGATATTGCAAGTATTTGTGTGCTCTAATTACAAATCTAAGATTCAAATCAAATTATGTGGACTATAGGCCTGTTAGTATGCTGATTTGTGGCCAACTATGACTTCTTTTTCACTTCGGCTGTGACTCGTGAGGGAGTGGTGGCTAAATGGGTGGTTAGATTGAGTTTGTCGTGACAAGACAATGTTTTAAGCAAAGCAATCCCTAAGTGCTTTTTTCGTCATACTAGACAGGTTGATTCAAAATCAATATATTGCATTATAAAAATTTGGGATATACCATGTAATTTTAGGTATCGTTCATTTCACCGATTTGAGTTTAAAATTCGAGTTTTGTACAGTAAAAAACTCTCAGAAATAGTCACATCTAACTTTTTTACTACTGTAAAAAGCTCGCACATAAAATCACATCTCAACTCGAATTAAAAACTCAAATCAACGAACTAAACGGACCTTAAATGTAAGCCATTAGATAATCCAAATAAACAATCTCCAGAAAATTTCAAGGGTTGAGATCAGGTTTTTCTTTTTCTTTTTTTCCGATCATTTTAGGGCTGAAATTGAACTACATAGACAACAATATAAATATATATATATATATATATATATATTTACGTGGGTTTCTCAATGTTAAACAAGTGTTTTGGCTATTGGGGACAATTATATCCAAAGACGATACGTGCTTCTCTCCCATCCCATGATTCACAGTTTACATGTCATGTCGTTGATTTGGATTCTTCAACCTGTGAAATTGTACCTGAAAAGAGTTTTGTCATGACTCGAAGAAAAAGAAGGGAAAAGATTTTTAACTACCGTTGATAGAGAGAGAGAGAGATATTTTGTTAAAAAAGATTATACCACTATATATGCGAATTACGTCATATAACAACATGAGATTTGTGTAAACTTACGACACGGGTGCAAAACTTTAATTAGTTGAGTTCGTTTGACAAACGTTTTATGTGTTGAGTCTCTGTGGTATCAATAAAGTTGTACAACTTTTTCCTATCTGATTTGATAAATAATAAGGGACCGCTGCAATAAAAATGGTCTTTAGGGTAAATTTTCAGATTATGAAACCTTCCATAGGCTGCCACAAAGATACACTTCCAGTTGGAGTAATTAAAAAAAAAAAAAAAAAAAAAAAGCCAATTAAATTGTGGTGAATCATCATTTCTAAAGCCTGCTCTAAGTGAATGTCTCTAGTTTTGCTCCATTAAAAATATGTTTTAAAATTGTCTTGACTGATTGATTTTGGTAAACTATTGATTGATCTTGGTAAATTTTTTATTCATTAACCATCATATACCAATACATGTCTAACTTATCGATTCCACAATCAGTAAATTATTGATTCTAAAATTGCTAAGAAACAACATTTTTTATGGAAATTTGTTCCCTCGGGAACAACGGTGTTATCTGTTTATCAACCGTCGGATCTGTATTACTTTTTTAATTTAATTTGACTTTTGACCAGATTTAATACATATATGACGGTTGATAAGCAGGGAACACGTGTGTTTCTAAAAAAAAGAGAACACCAGAGAAAGTCTTTTTTTTTTTAAATTTATGATTAATTTCAAAAACTTCTCCCGAACTATGACCCTTTTAACACTTTGCCCCCCAAATTTTAAAAAGTAACATCCGTTCCTCCCGAACTTTATTCCGTTAACAAGTTTTATTATTCTTTTATAATGAGTGGTGAAAATCGTCACGTGTCAGGTACATGACTCATCTGATGAGGGTATTATTGTAACGAGATCAGATGAAAGCAATAAGAGTAAACTTTTCTCATACTTTTCTACAATTTTTCCCTTCTCTTTGTAAGACTTAACAAGCACCCGAGAATCACAAACAAAATATGGGTTTCCTTTAGCCAAGTAACAAACCCAAACATCTCCTTTTGCTAATATGGGATTCTCACATCTTGAATAGGTCCATAGATGCTTCAACCCAGAATTAACATCCTCGGACGACCCGAAATACACGCTTGTCGGAGATAGTATTTTTTCGACGAGATTTTCACTTATAGAATTATATAAAGAAGACCCAGAACTGTTGCTGATATTGTTTTTGAAAACACTGCCGTAAGAAAGCGAAGGACTTGGAAATGGGTTGGGCCTGGAAATAGGGTTAAAAGGAGAAGAAGAAAATGATGATGATAATGATGATTTAGGGAGAATAGCCAAGTAGGTTTTTCAATAAAAATGGGAAATTATCTAATCGTGGTCTGACTTAAGAAGCGAGATACAACATTTTTTTTGAGAGAAAATGTACAAATGACATGAGAGAGTGAGAAGAAGAAGAAAGAGAGAGAAAACGTTTGGGTTTTTTTATTATCTTTTCTTTTGGTAATATTATCTTTTTACTATTTAGGATTATCTGATTAGAATGGTATACTTGTAATTTTATTTTTAATTCTCATTAAATAAGTAACACATGGTAATTCCGTCACTCATTGTAACATAATGATAAAACTTGTTAACGGAACAAAATTCAAGAAAAACATGTTACTTTTTAAAATTCATGGGATAAAGTGTTAAAAAAATCATAATTCAGGGACAGTTTTTGAAATTAATGCTTTAATTTAACAAAACTAGGGGATACATATAAAAGAAATATGCTTTAAAACAAGTGAAGCAAGATTTTGAGGCAAAAACAGAGGAAAAGTCAAGCATGATGGGCTTTGTCATCAGGTTGACCCTAACAACAATATTGTTCTAAGAACAATGCTACTTGATCTTAGGGACACGTATATAATCAAAATATGCCTCTTCCCTTATTAGAATGGCTATGTGAGGAGCTTATTAAACGATATTCATGACTTTGTTGTTTTCCTTGCTTGTGTTCTTCTGTGGACATAAAAGTTAACACTATACCTAAAAACTAAGCAATTAATGATGCATTAAACAAATCCAAGAATAATACAATATTTCTTAAAATTTGACATTTGTTTGTCAATGCGTAAATCAGGTTTTGGAGGCTTCGCTTTCCTAGGCACACGGCATTAATATTTCTCTTGCAATTATAAAATTTTGAAGATATGTCCAACATATCCTTCTCAAGCAATGTATTATAGTATAAGGAAAAATACAACCTATAACATCCCCACCTCAATAAATGCCCCGAAATTATAGAAGCGAAGATGGGTGGCATGTTTGCAAATACACAGTTTATATCCATAAATTATCTTCCATTGACTATAATTAATTAATAATGCCTGACAAGTCTTATTCACATATAAATACAAGCCTTATATGGATAAAATCAGCGGAATACCCCTTCACATAATTCTGGGGTCCATTCAAAGAAACTACTCTCCAAAAATTCCTTGATTTTCGAGTTATTTAAAATTCTCATTAAAAGGTTAGAAGCAAAGATACGATAAATTTCATTTTTTAAGATATATCATACTGTTCAATTTTCAGTCACTAGATGATAAAAAAGAAATATTTGAGCCAGTGAAACTTTTTCAATTGAACTGAATGATTCATTTCAAATGTTAGGATGTACTTTCACCTGAAAAGTTTTACTAATTAAACATCTTTTAGGAAAAGTTTAGTAGGATCCCTTTGAAATAAAGGTAAGATCTAGT